ACACACACACACACACAACACTTATTCACAAGCCACTTTATTGCAACTGTTGTCAATAGTGAACACCATCAATAAGCTAGATTTAACTTGCTTTCTTTATTTAAGGATCACTCTGTTTGTTGTTAACTTACTTAAATGGCTGGACTGCTAGTCGGTAGGTATCTACACTCACAGTTTAACTATTCAATTATGCTGTAATTTAGAATTTCAAACAGAATTTATAGTCACAATGAGTTGGTACCAATTTTGCGTCCAAATAGTTTGCAAACTCGAATACAGCTGGACTTGTCAACTTACTTCCTTGAAGACCCTGAGTCCCCGGTCGTCAGTTCCTCAGCTAAGTCACTCCCATTTAATTCCACTGATTGGGTAATTTTGAAATCTAGTAGTTCACACAATTTTTTGGATCTCCAATCAGCTAGCTGTAGTGCAGGATTCTAACCCTTAACCGTTCAGCGTGGTTTGACATGTATATTTCGTCAAGGTATTTAAATTGTCTGCGGGGGTTCGACGTCAATGTTTCGTCCAGCTGCACACCTATGTTANTCAGTGATCATATTCTAAAAGTTTGCCACTGTGTTACTTGTAGACAAGGTTTCTAAGAAAAAGCCACAGAGGTGCTTCCTGTGTAAAAGTAAGATGGAATAATTCAATCCCTGCAGACAAGAAGGTGACTTATGTCCCACTGGCTTGCCTATTACTTGCCATCTGCAATTTAATCTTGTACTAAAGATTCTAATTATACTTAAAACTAGTGCACAACAGTGGAGCGGTTACAATACATGTGCACCATATTCTAAATTCCAAAATAGGCAGTACTAGCATGAGAAATTCTACTGAGAATTGTTAAAACAAACTTCATCAAAAATACCTTACCACATTTCCACAGATAAGCTCTCCATTGATCTGCTCTCATGTACGTACATTAAATCATAGTTACTACATCCCTCTGTTGGGTTCAGAAACAAAACATCTGAGCTAGGCTTTTATATATAGTGGATGGGCAAATTATTGAAAACACTAAGAAATTGAGAAATGGAACTTGTTTGTGTTGGCTGCATTGAAAGAGCTTCAGTTGGCAGCACTTCATTTGTTTACACTCTGTAGTGTTGGTGCAGTGCATGTGAAAGAATCGTAAAATGGGGGACTTGTTCAAATTTGAAAGAAGACAGATTGTTGGTGCATGTTCAGCTGGAGCACCTGTGACAAAAGCTGCCACATTATTAGGTGTATCGAGAGCAGCAGTTTCCAAGGTTTGTGTTGGCATACATGAATCCTAGAAATATAACAAAGCAAAGAGGAACAGTGGGCAAAAATGAA